CATGAAATTTAAGTCTCATAGAACGTCTGAGAGTAAAATACGTGATCAGTTTGCTTTTCATTTCGTTTCAAATCAAATTATTCTTTCTGAATAACCCTATTACCTTCGCTCCTAAAAGTGCCAAAAATATTTCTGTGACTTCACCCTGGGATTTCTTTTGCCAACCCTAATTAATTTTAAGACAGACTCATGTTTAATCGTATAAGCACATTTACGCTGAAAACAAACTTATACTGTGAGTTAAGTAGTGCTCAAGAATAAGAATTAAATAAAAATTAACCAGCGTATTTTGCCAAACTCCAGGGATCAAATGGAAAAATTTTTATTACTATTCATAATTATTAATTTGAATTCACATGTTTCACCTAAATGCAAATAGGAGTTTAAACATAAGAATAAAAATAGCTTCCTAAAATTACAGGCTTATTGGCTAATAGGCTAATTAAGGTTTAATGCAAAAATAACGAATCCATGTTTTAGTTGGATAATAATACCCTTAATATTTATACTTTCCATACCTCTAACTGCCCATCGATGACAATACAGTCACTGAATACAAACAGTTTGATTTTGGCACAAATCTGAGTGAGCGAACTGGCTACATAATCCCCCCGCCCCATTTTTTCCATCTGAGGTTTTCTATATGTGCAATGGGAACATGACTCAATTTTTCTTAAAAGGCCTTTCGCGAAAACACCGCTCTCTTTAGCAGACAGGGCCCCCCTGCCTTTGCTTCATTGGACTAAACAATTTATTTCCAATCTGTTCTTCCTTTACGTCTAAAAATTAAGATTTCTTTTAGATTCAGCAGAATATCTACGAATGCTGAGCTTCCTTAAAACATATTACAATTACCAATACCTTTGCAAAATGTCACATAATCTATATTTTAATTGACTATTATATTAGATTTTCAAAAACCAATCACTTATGTAAATAGTAATATATTTTAACCTAAAATCGCCTATACCAGAGTAACAGTATATTGTATACAACGCAATGAGTTTTAACGCCAAGAAACATTAACTACAAATTTCATTTCTCGAAAAATATCAAAAAAATTTATTTAGGCATACTCTGTACTTTAATCATCTAATAACTATGCAAGATTATTAATTTGTAAGGAAAATTAGAGAGTTGTTCAGAGAATTATAGATTTTTAATGTGTTAGGCGTTGTATGTAGCATAATGTGAAACATTTCAGCTCAAAGAAAGGAAAAAAATAAAAATGATTTTTTTTAATTACTAACTTTCGATCTTGTAAGACATACACGGCTATTTAGTGGGAAGTCTTTTCCTTTGTACAACAAAAGCAAAGGTGATAATTTCCCTCCTTCGACCATCAGAAATTTCAACCTACTTCTCGTCCGACGTTTCTTATTCCTCAACGATTAAATTAGAGCAATTCAATACTTCAGAAGAGTAACTAATGTTTATCACAATATCACGCCAATAAGTCATTCACTACAATACAACAACATTAAAAATGTGATGCATCGCAAATAATTATAAGCCACAGAAACTTGAAAGCAGAACAGGAGGCACTGCCCATGGCGCGTGTCCTATTTTTTTTTTTTTTTTTTTTTTTTTCAAAACCCCCGCATATTTTTCAGCCTCTGCTTTAGTTATAATTGAAGGAAACTTCGACATTTTTCTCGATGGCAAAATAATAGAGATAAAATGAGGCCCCATTATAGAGTTCATCCTCAACACACGACCTTTCAAGGCCAACAGCAGGCCTCTTCGGTCCATCATTACAATGCCCACATAATAAAGCGTATCTGTCGTAAAGTAACCAGTTGAGGTCACACAGTGAACAAAATCTGGCATTAAAAAGATGCATTCTGACGTGATAACTCCAGTAGCACATACACACAGCAAGCTGGAAATATTTTTTTATGCTGGGTCACAAGACACAAGTTACATTTTTTTCTAATAAGTTACACGACGTAGCAGTAGCACAAGGATTTGCATTAGTGGTAATGAAACAAGTTATAAGCAGTACTCATTTTCATTCCTGTATACTCTTTTAATATTCGTGCATTATTTGCAATTTTAAATTTCAGTCTGAGCAACTTAGTGTGAAAAAAGTATAAGAAATTACATTTATACATAATGTTATGTGCACTCTTTACAGAATATTCAGCATCCGAAGAACTCAATATTGCATACAAATTTTCATCGTTGAAAAAATAGTAACGTAAACGAAAATAATATAAGGTAAAGTGTCATAAAATGACACAAAAAACTTGTAGATAGAGAAGTGATATCTAAAATTTTGTAATAATAAAATTATGGTTAATTTAATAACGCAAAGTAGAACTTTAAACGGTATTCTTAATTTTTAGTTTTGTATAATTTTATTCAACAGACTTCTTGTGGCAATGCTCATAAAATGTGTATACGTTTATAACAACAGTAGCTACTTGTGCTGTGAAAGTACAGTTTCTAGCACGTTCTTCATAATAAGCAGATTTATTCAATCAGCTGTACATTTATTTTCTGTTATATATTGTATATAATTAATTGATCTATAAAATTTTGAATGGAAGATGAAATTGTTTTTAATGCACATCATAAGCAGAATTTTAAACTAGGTTACGTTTATAAACATCAAAATAATACCAAACATTTTTTAAAATATACTCTAAAACTTTTCCTTGAATAATCGAAAATAAGATCTAATGTTAAATATATATATAAACGTAAAGAAGTGCATTAATTTACATTCTCTTAATTCTATCTCGTTTACCTTGAGGATTAGGACATTTTAGGTTGGTAACTCCAGCTGTAAGTTATTACTAATGCTGTACATAAAAAAGGATGAGGTTGAAAGATGTACAGACATCTTCCTGCGTCGTAATAAATGATAAAATAAATTAGTATCTGCATATAATAGCCTTTTAGTCTTCCTATTTCCAAGAGGCGGGGAAGATATTTCTATGCTACATGGTTCGTTTACAAGTTTTCCAAACTGTTAGTCTATAAAACTTTTACCGATATATTTATTCAAAATAAAAAGGAATATATATGAAGCCTTGTAATGCAAACCAGAGTTGAACAAAGGATAACTGTATGTTCTTCTCATTTTTTTTCTACTTCAGATATCAGAAGTAACAGAAAAAAACCAAACTCGAGCTTTGTTAACAGCTATAGCGTTGTCCGATTGTCCTAAAACCCCAAAATAATGACTCCGTGACGAACTCGTGTAAATATCCCAGGCCATCTGAAAATAAGGAGAAAAAAAATAATGTTAACGAAAAAAATAATAGCCCGTTAAAAGCCAAGCAATAGGGTCTTAAATACCTATGAAGGACACCCTCATTTGAGCCGAAATACACTCACTCAACGTTCACGTTTGGTGAGGCGTGCGTTAACTCACGACTCCAAGTGGCGTGATAACTAGCCATACAAATCTTTTGATATCCCGCCATGAAAAGGAAGATACAACGTTCATTTCAAACCCGGGCGTGAAACGTAGCCCACCAAAGATGTGCAGCGTCCAACCACACTATTATTTTGTCACTGTAAAAACTCCAACTATCCATAAATAAACCAAGGGGAGGGGATAAACGCCCCCTAAAGACCCCTTATATTTCGATATCACCTCCTTTCTTCCATTCCCGAACATATGCGTGAGTCTGTATAACTTCTAAATAAAAGCCCCCTGAAACAATAAATTACGTAATGGGGTACTTTGCCTCGCCGGTAATAGAGGCAGATATTGCAGTATTATGCATATTGGCGTGTTAGCGGAAAAAGTTGCGCTATTATGCGAGTGGATGTAACGCGTCTAGGTATCACTAGTCTTATATCTAATTTATTCGTTATGTTGGCTGTAACCGGCAAATTGGTAGGGTAGTTTCCTTTTTTCTCTCCCCAACCTATCATCGCAACAAAAAAAAGCGTTTATAGTTTAACACCATCCGAATGGTATCTAGAGGTTCATCTTTTATAAAATTTTGTTGCGAATCAATAAAACGCGGAAATATTTCCTCATCTATTATGAAGCTGTATGGAATTTTCGAAGAATTTTGATGCTGAAAACTGATGGTATACTAGAAAGGGTTCTGATTTTGACAATTGGGGAAACATAAAATAATTAGATAATGATCGGAATCCAAAATTAACATTTTAAGAAATTTATTAGCAAATATTTGCGTGTAAAAATCTTGTGCTAAGAAAAGTATCAACAAATATTTGCGTGTTAAAATCTTGTGTTAAATATTTTCAAACATAGCTTCTAAGATAGTGATATTCCAACGTTTGCAATTTGCAAATTCAAATTCAGAAATATTGCAGCGGAAAAGCAAGTAATAGCACTTCAAAAAATACAGCTCTAAATTAGAACAATATTATTAAGTTTTATAAACTAGAAAATTAATTTTATATGTGCATAAACGTACTTCTAGTTATTCAAAAAATGTAAAATATCTTAATTACCTTTCATTCGTTTTCAAACCAGTTCAAATCATTTGTATTTTACGTTTTAAAACAATGGTAAACCCTTGCAGCCTGTCCTTTTGAAAATTGCTTGCTGCAACCTACAATAAACAGTTTTTAACCTGCAGCAGACAGTTTTAATCACTTCAGAAGATAATGATGATACCATCTAGAGGAGGAATAAGGACATTATTTTTTCTGACATACCAACGATTAGGAATGTTATATACCTATAATTGATATGATACCAAAGAAACAACTGCATTTACTGTATATTTAAGTTGAATTTCTATGTAAATTGGCATAATGAACTATATTATTGTATGCTTTCATTATTTGTACTTATTTTTCTTGATATCGATACCTTAACAGCGTGGGCTGGAAAGTTAAAAATTCTTATCACCCAAACTAATCAGTTTTAGCAAGGCGATAGTAAATACTTAAATAAAACTGATGTTATATACCACGTCACGTATTCAATCAATAGGAGGGATTACAGGACTGTTCTACATGCTGTAACCAAAAGCATCTTGAACTAAATATTTTACAAAACTCACCTTCGTGACGCGGGTATCTTGTGCGCTTCTTTCTCTATTCTTTCTTCTAAAACTCGCAAATCTTTCTCAACTGTCTTCCAAAGAGGTCCATCCTTTAAGACACTTTTCAAGAAAATGGCATCGTACTGTAGCTCTTTCAGCCCCTTCTGTAAGTTAAGCGAGCTTTCTTCTTCGATCTTAAAAACGGAAAAGTACAATATTAGAACTCATATTTTTAACAGTTCTACATATTCGCACTCTAGAATTTAAGAATTACCTTGTTCTAAAATAAGTTATAATCTATACATATATAAGCGAAATACCACTGATTCATCACAAAATCTCCGAAACTATACACCCGTTTAACTTGAAATTTTGCATAGTTACTCATTCCATGATGTAGACGCGCACCAAGAACGGATTTTACGTAAATCCTGTCCAAAATGGATTTTTGTTAAACAATAGTAGTTTCTCATAAATTTAGTTTTCAAATCCAAATTCAGAATTTTCTTTATTGTTGCCAAAACTAGATACGAAATACAATGCTGCGAATGAATGCATTTTCCTTTAAAATCATTAAATCGGTAAATAACTTGCATCTGTCTATCCAATGAATACAAACAACATTTAAATGATAAGATTAATAATAACATTTATATTTAACTGTTATCATAAATTTAATGAAAATAAATGTAATTATTAAGAGAAATGTATTATTGTGATACAAAATAAAAATGTTGTTGTTATTTATAAAAATTGCGATGCATAAAAAATCAAGGACAAATAATTATAATTGTTTAAGTTTGATAACAAAGATAACAACAACATTTATTTTCATGAAACTTACGATAAGAGTTGAATATATATAAACCTTAGTTTTATGTTGGCAATTTTTTGTGGTGTAGGCCAACTGGGGATCCCACCACGTTAAATCATGGGGACGCATCCCAATACACAATACCTCATGGATGATGGGGAAATCTGTGTATGACAGATTCACTGGCACTATATTTCCCGACTTTAAAAAATTTGCATTAATTATCAATTCTAAATTAGACATTTCGTCCATATAAGAAGTCTAGGTTCACATTCAAATAGATAATGTGCCCAACAAAGCGGGCGGGTATCAGCTAGTATCTCTATCAAATCATACCATGACAATATTTATTTATGATAGCAAAGGCAGCGAAAATTAGCACCTCACAATCATTTAAAAGGCATAATCACTTACCCCATTCCTATCTTATATCGAACTTTTAATATTTATGAAGAAAAGAGATCATTTTAAAAACCCACAAATACGTAGTTGATAACAACAACCTCAAAAGTAACAGACTGGTCACAGCTCTCAAACTTTAGGAAGTCATAAGACACAGTCCTCTGAATTTGTAAAAGTCTGAATTTAAATTTGATAAAATTTACAAACTCTTTTTACAAAGCAGTCTTTTTTTAGCCTTCTAAATTTCGAAATGGAATAACGCAGTGAAATATAAGACTCCACTAATGCCTGAAATTGCAGTTTCAGAAACGTAAAATATGAAAACTCTCCAATTCACTATAATTTATTAGTTCCCATTCCTATACTCATTCCTCTAGCATGTTATATAATGCAATTACATATCGGTGTATAAAGTTATAAAACTATTATTACGTGTTAAGATCTGAAACTAATCATCTTTGATGGAAAAGCTGAATATAACAGAACGAAGCATTACTAGGTTATAATACTGCAAAATATTCTTCAGTTTCTAATTTATTTTCTATATAATAAGACCAGAAACTATTTCTCTATATTTCTACGTACCTGAAGCTACACGATGGAATGTTACCGCAAACATCAAAAAGAAATTCCACTATCAAAAGCGATACTGGCAGTATTTGAGAACATTTTAACATTCGTAAGAAAATTTTCTAAACTATTAAAACAGTCTTATTAGCCCAGAGGTTAGTTTGCCTGTTAAATGACATGTTATGAAACAGTCAACCATAGTAGTGAAGAAATAAGAAAAATGGGAACGGGGAGAAGCATATCACATCAAGAATCTTCAATAAAAGACTTCTCATTTTTAAAAACAACTAAAAAAAAATAAATAAATAAAATCTGAAGGCCTTTCAGATTTTATATTACACCCAAAGCACTTTTTTTTTATTTACACACTCATAAACGTTTAGAGAGCCGATTCGATAGCATTTGGGATAACACCCCTTTGGGCTAAAAATATTTTAAAATAACATATCTTTAGAATTTTTGATAGACAGAATCGCGCGCTGGATATAAAAATTCTATTCCGTACAGTGTTGCTACTACTCTCTTTGAAATATTTGAGTTTTTTATCAAAAATTTTTGAAAGTTTTACAAAATATGAAATAGGCTGTAAAATAAATTCGAAATTCAAAATTCAAGCTTCCAAGTGCCCATGCTCGGATGGACGACTATGTTATTTAAAATTGGATGGCTCTAGGTACGTTGTTTTTTTCCCAGTGTGAGAAATATACATACATTCATACAGATTTTTCATTATTTAATTTTTCTAAAAAATACAGGGTGATAATATTTGGTGGCAACAATCTGAAAAGTGATTCAATGCAAAAAGCCGTTTCGAGACTAATAGCCCTTCCAGGCTAACGCCCATGTCGGCTAAAAAAATTCTAAACCTGTTTAAATATTTACAACAGAGTTGAAATTAATCACTAACCCTCCCCCCCCCCACCACACACACAATTTTTCCCCTTAAATAAAATAAGGAAAACTTAACAAAGGCATACAAATCGGATTAGAATTCTAAGTTATCGATCTTTCAAGAGATCAGTCAGGACAAAAATGCCAAATACAGCAAACTTATACCTGATACATTCATGAAGGTCGACAGGCAGTCAACCAGACGTTCGACGGACAGACCAAACCACACACCTTCTGACACATAATAATCACAGACAAATCCATTTCCAGATCATGAAACCACCACTGTAACTGTACATTAAATCTTATTCTTCTCGTTTGAAGATTTGTTCACGGCATCAATTACGCCGCAGCTCGCAATTAGGAATGTATAATTTACGGAAAACAGAAAGTCGAAAGAAAGAAGAAAATATTTCGAAGAAGATTTCTTTGTAATGCTTTTAAGATCTACAGCAGAGTTACTGCCAACTTTTTTTTTCCTAACTCCTATATATTAAGGATAAACAAGGTACTATTTTTTCCTCAGAAGTATTTGATAGGAAATAATAAGGACGTTAAGCACACATAACCAACAGAAAATTAAAATAATAATTATTATGCCTTATTGATGTGCCATTATTACCTAAGCATTTTTTTAATCGTCAAGGCGTTCAGCAAAATTAACCTAAAATAAAAACCTACGTATTCCTTAAACGAAAACCGGCTAAACATAAACATAAATTGCAACAACTCACTGACAAGTTGGTCTACCATGGCTACCTTGTCTATGAATACACAGAAGCTATAATAATACGTCGTAAGATGGGTGATTAAAACTCTAAAAACCTGTAATTTACAAAGTATATACGAAGCAGCTTACAGTTATTAAAAGTTTTTTGTCTTCGGACAGAATATAGGCAACTTTCTAAAAGGGAAAATTCATACATGCGTGTTCTAAAATAGGAAAAAGAGTTCCCGCCTTCTCTCAATGTAAATTAATTTTTGAAATCCGATACAATATAAATTGTTTTAAAGTTTCGATATTCGATTGTTTTTAAATTCGTGATTTATTTTTTATCTTAAAAAAATCAGATCTCAAATCATTGCAAATGCTTCTCATATTATATAAGGAAGTTTGAAAACGGTGCTTGCAAACTAATATTTTCTTAAATATTAATCCTGAAAGTGTACTTCCAATTTTGCGAAGCTTCTTTAAATAACGAAGCGAAAATTGTCCGGATGCTGTAAGTAGGGTTATGAAAAATAACATATAAGACTAAAAATTATGATTAATTATATACTCGAGAAGTCACATGTATGCAACCAAATAAAAAATAATTTTCAAAAAGAAACTAAACTAAAAATTAAACTGATTTTGAAAAGCTTGATTATAATTTCCTTAAATCTATTGATGCTTCTTCTTGCACACAGATTGTTAAATCCATATATTCAATATTTAAAAAAATAAATATAAATATAAATAAATTTAACAAACAAAACACAATCTGAAAGGTTTAGGATTTTAACACTCCCCAAAAGGGCTCTTTTAAAGATTAATATGGTTTATCATTAGAGATAGCCCAGGTGGAATAGATAACAATTTTATAGGCTACTAAATAAATACACATTTAGACTATATATCTATAGAAAGCTATATATCTTTTTGTATTTGAAAAGTGAAAAAATACAAAAGTCTATAAAAATATTTATTGTACTTAATTAGATATATCATAATTAAATACATTTTAATTAGCTGAACTTGCCGTCAAACGAATCAAAGATAATGGGACAGCATCGTCAAGGTACCTTATTTGTTCTGATTTTCTTTCTTCTCTTCAGCTTTTTTACCAGCTGCGACTAATTAATTATCGAAACCCTATTAACTGTTAGTTCGCTTAGCAATAGAGGAAATGATATCTGCTTTGCTTATGCACGTGCTCATCACGCTTTCTGTGGAACTGAAAAAGTTGTTTTCTTAGCTAAAGGTGCCTTAAATTTAACCATCGATATCAACATTAGGATTCCAAACAGCTTTCATTATTGGAAGTCTTTCATTATAAGAAGCTTTTAGCTAAGTGGAATGAGGAATATATTTCATCTTGTAAAGCTGTGGTCACTAAAATGTTTTTTCCTTCTATTTACTATAGACTGTATTCCAAGTATTTCCTCTCAATTAATTTTAAAGTTTCTCAGTTTTTATCTGGTCACGGTAAATTTGCAAGTTACCTGTTTCGTTTTAATCTAAGATCAAATAATTTGAGTGAATGTTCAAAAAGAGTACCTCAAGATGTGGAACATTTGATTTTCTCATGCCCTATATTTGATGGCCCTAGATTATGCTTGCAGAACAATTTGAAAATGTTCGAAGTGACTTAGCCAGTGACCTTATCTGTTTTCGTGAAGTCCAGACTGCTCTTCTCTGCTTTTGTTCGTTTTATTTATGCATGTAACTTTTGATGTTTTAGATAACTTACTTCTGTAAGCCCCGTGTAATACATCTGCGGTGCACGGGGAGTCTGTATGTTTTCAAATAAAAAAAAATCAGTCAGATTAAAAAGTTTAAATCCATTGCTTTTGAACAGCTTACTTTGTTGAATAATAACAGACAAATTCAGTTTGAAAGATAAATAATACCTTACATATTGATGAATGGCGGCAGACTTGAATGAAAAGTGAAACAACGAATTTACTATAGGACATAAAATTATATGCACTATAATTTACCAAAGTGAATTAATGCAAAATCGTGTCTCCAGACTAAGAGCCCTTTTGGGCTAATAAATAAATAAAATAAATAAATAATTTCTAAATCCTGAGCTTACCACTTTGAAATTATTCCCTGTTTCTCTCTAAATCAATCAATAGATAATATTTAGCCCTGACCTCATGGTGCTTATATAAAGACGGTTGTAGGCAGTGTCGCTTTGGGCAAAAAGACGAGCCTGTTTCTTGGATTATTTAAAAAACTTAATCAATTATCAGAAGACTTAAATACTTAGATTATCGTACAACTTCTACATCAGTCTCAGTAAGTTCTCCGAATATAATGAATTTTACCTTTTCCTAAATCTGTTAAATCCTGAAACGTGAAACAACTTGTTCTTATATGTCGCGCTGTGATAACGCCCGTAAGAAATATTTACATTTTTGAAACATTAAAAACAAATATAAAAGGAGAAATACTCACTATAAGGCAAGTTTTATCACAGTTTTTCTCTACCGAGTTCATTTCAGCTTCTTCTAATTTGCACCGTAAATTTTTATATTTTTCATTGTATTCTTTCCATTTTTTGCTGAAGTTTTCTAACTCTGTGAGTTGATTGCCATTTCTGGAAAAGAAACATAATTAATAAATAAATTACGCTGTTTTTACATCTGAATGGATAATTTTTAATTGTACTTATTCTTTAGAATATTACATTACAAAAAATGTTCATATACCTATTATATTTAACATTAATCAGTATTTGCTGATATATAAATACAAAAGTGATTAGTTATAATTCTCATACATAGCATGTTTATTTAATCAGGTTATTTGCAGCATCGATCGGTACTGTTCTGCTGTTACGTAAATATAAAGGTCCCTCACTTTATGACAAGATGACGTTCTGATAATGTTGAAAATATATTGGAGTTATTTTGCTATATACCGAACCGCTCCAATAATTTGATTATATATTATTTGATTATAATATATATATATATAATTTATTTCCTAAACAATATTGATTAATTGATTATATTATCTCCTAAGTTTAATTAAAGTAGAATTATTTTAAAAGAGTGAATCCATACTGGTAAGTTATATTTCGAAAGATTTTGAAGTAATTTGAAAGAAATTTTGGGGGAATTAAATCATCATGAAGAACAAAATTTCAATTGTAAAAGGAAAAATTAAAAACATGTAATCATTGTCATTGATCGGAAATTAGTTGACTTTTCAAGGGGAACAAACCAACTCCCGTTCAATGAACAATAATTGATAAAAATACGTAAATACGAAGGTGTTTCGTCTTTACTCGAGTTATAAGTTAAAGCCAAACCGGCAATTCTAGTCAGGCCAAATATTCCGCGAATAGAAGGGATTATGATCCAATGCTGATACTCAAAGAACTTATTCTTATGAAGCATTTTAGTCCAATTCAATTTGGAGTAAAAAAGCAATTTTTGTAGAGAAATCCGATAAAACTCGAGTAACCGTCCCCGACACCCTTCATGTTTATGCATTTGAGTTCTATATTATTTGTAAAAATTAAATTTGGAAATTGTCATTATGAAATCGAATTCAAAGTAAAGTTGAAATAAACATAGAAGATTACAAATAAGATAAATAATGCAAACTTTGTAAAAACAAATCAAAATATAAGAATATTATATATATAATATTATACATTTTATATATATATATATATATATATATATATATACATAGGGCCAGAATTCCGATATATTTTATAATCAGATAAGTATAAAAAAATACTGAAAGGTTTTTAGATTTTAAATTACGTCCAAAAGGGTATTTTTTAACATTTTGTGCGTTATTTATTAAATATCATGTTCTTCGCGCTTAAACCATAAAATTGAGTTCGAGAGCAATATAGCAAAATAATTTTTAAATGAGCATATCTTTAGAATTTCTGATACAGAGTCTCGCGCGCTGGAGATAAAAATGTTTTTTTTTTTTTTTTTTTTTTTTTTTTTTTTTTTTTTTTTTTCTGTACAACGTTGCCATTGCTCGCTTTGAAATCCTTGAGTGTGTTAATTCAAAAATTCATTAAAGTTCTATAAAATATGAAATCGATAATAAATCAAATTCCAAATTTCAAATGTGGGCTTCCAGATGCTTATATTCGCAGGAGGTTTACGTTATTCAAAACTGGATGGCTCTAGGTACCGTTGTTTTATCACAATGTGAGAAACATACATCCATTCATGCAGATTCTTCATTATGTAATTTCTTTAAAATATAATACAAAACGATAATATGTGGCGGCAGCAATTTGAAAAGTGAAACAACGCTTGTAGTGAATGAACGCAAAATGCCAAAACGAAATTAATAGTCCTTCTGCGCAAATTGCCCCTTTGGACTAATAAATGAAATAAAGTTTAATAATGGATATGCAATTACAGATGCTTTCTGACAAGCGAGAAGGAAAGTTTACAGTAGGTTTACAGTAGGTTTACTACGTTTCTTCGCATTGTAATAGAAAGACAACTACACTGAGATGCATTGTTGACGCTCTTTATTAAAGCCTAATTCTACAATTACTAGACTCAAATGTGTCCCATAAAATAACCCCAGGGGGCAAAACATTAAGCAGGAAAAAAGAATCGTTTTCCCAGGTCACATTAAATAGCATCAAACGGACGCCACCTTATGACAGATGCGAGCGATGCTCAAGCCCCCACACACATCTTCGTTCTCTACCCCCATGCTCATTTCGCCAAGCGATCTTTAATCCAGCCGGAAGGGGGATGGTTCGCATTCAGGCACGTGACCCGAAAACTGATAGCCCCCCTTTTATATTTTTACCCACCGAGCTATAATCCGCTCACGTTCAACCACGTTCAGCAAGTCAGCGTATGTCGGCCATTGGGAATTCTTCCCAAACTCTGCGCCTAGGTGCGACAGGTCGCGAAGCAGAAAATAAGAAGATTTCGAATAAGAACTAAAAAAGTGTAAACATTTAAAAAAATCAATACATATATATATATATATATATATATATTGTTACGCGTGTACGGGATCGTAATAGATTGAATGCACACAGAACCGTTATAGCTAGATAAAATTTACTGTGCCAAAAGAAACACTTAACAGTTCTGGAACGTTTGACAAAATTACTCCTACACCTCTTCTCAGTATAACAGAGCACAATCAGTAGTTACCACTTCAAACTACTAAAAAAGTTAAACACAACGCAATGCAAAGCGCATCTAAAGAGCGAAGCTCACAGGGAGATAATACTAATTCTCCGAAGTAGTCATTGAACTGAAAAAAAGAGAACTGATACTCTCTCCTGCCGTATACAGTTTTACCCCAGCTAACGAGAAATCATTAGTACGAGTATCTTCCATATCTCGAAATTACTGGAAGGCATATACGATTAAAGTTACATATAAGAGCCGGATGAGGTTACAGTTACATATAGGGATCAATTACAGTTATTCAACTTTCAGAGACTTTTCGCCTAATTTGGCTACAAAAATTAGTCGCTAAAACCATCGCCAGCTTCGCGATATCTCACCAATTTAACAAGATAGTCATTTACCTCAATTTTAAATACAATTACAATTGCAATCTTATTTTTCCGGAAGAGCTTCACTTTTTTGAGGAACTTCGTGTTAAATTACGCAACAGATGCTATAATTTTAGATATAATTTCACTAAAATTGTTTACATGTATAGAAAATTCGTAACAATATACAACATAATTCCTTTTAAGACTAAAAGTTTTCTCCATTACGACTTCTTCATTACAAATTTCAAAATCTAATATTTACATACACCAGCAAAAGTTATGCACATACGTATTTTACAGGAAAGCCATTTCTGTGCATTTCCGTCAATGAAACATAAGAAAAGTTAACAGAATACACAATGCACATACAATCACACGTATGTATGTAAATCAAAATCACACCATTAATACGTGCATTTTTCATAAGCATGAAACATCTGTACGTATTTTACCAAAAATTTGTTTGTAATAACATTTCTGAAATTTTCAGCCATGATTTTATAAAGCTTTAAATTTTTGTGCCAAGTTAAAAATTACATTGCGTATACTTGTATATAATTTCAACCGAATCCAACTTTGGATTCGGAGGCGACAACGTGTGTCATTTTGAAGTACGTCTGTTTAATGAAAGAAATGTTGATTGCTGATGAATTAGCATTTTGTTGCTAAGAACGTTATTTGGAGACACATTACCTATAAATAGTTTTAAGCAGTAATGTGCTATATCAACGGTATTATAGTAAGGAGTAACACAGTTATACCTAACCCAAAGACAACGACGGCTGGCGAAAGAGAACTACTCAATTTTTGAAATGGTAGAAGAATGACACAGATGCTAAGCAAATTTTTATATCCACCCTCATCATAGAAAAAGTAAAAATGGAGGTAAAGCTATTACCAGACGTAGTAGCATATTAATCAAAATTTAATAAAAATTTAGGATGATTTTTTTCCACACGGATATCATTTTTGGTTAGTGTTATGGCTATTCTTTAACTAACATGATTGATTAATCATTCGTTTTACCGCAGATATAGTAATCGTGATAAATGAATATAATGACGAATAATTATGCGAAGGAAATATTTAATAAACGCTTATATACCTGCATAATATACTACATAAGTTACTTACACACTACAAAAGTTTTTGTTGCTAGAAAACAGGTTATCAAGAAGATTTCGAAAATTCTCTTCCTCCTCTTCTTTCTTATATGTATAACTTCTACCATAAGATGCATAATGACTGTTTAACATCTAAAGTGCAGCTTTTGCATGACAAAATTAAAAACTAACGAACATTCTTGCCGCGAATACAAAAAAATTATAGTGTTGCGAAATGTCCAGTGGCTGAGCAGTGAGATTTCCCGCCAAGCGGTGTTAGGGTTGCCGGAAAGTCATATGGAAAGGCAGGGTAGCTGGATTTGGCGTGAAATCGCCCATTTGACAATAAAATTGGTGCTATGTCATTGACGGAGCAAGAATATTCTAGAACGTATTTTTAGCGCTTTTCTCGGGAATATTCTCCAAAATAGGTTAAAGCTATATATACCTTGCCTATATAGGGAGAAACTTAGTGTCTTGAGTTCAGAGATTAGCTTGAGAGTGATTGACCGAGTCGAGAGCTGTACTTTAGTCTCTGCCGTGAAGCTATCTTCACCGTTATAGCCTGAAGGCTGTTGATTGTTTCAGCGTGACTGTCATAGTTTTTCAACGAATGTAATCATGTCTTTCGAACTGTCCTGTGCTTACTATTTAATAAATTGTGTTTTGGATTCTTTATCAAGTGTTATCATCAATCACTCCGAATCCACGAACCCGTAGAAAGCAACAGTAGGGACTCATTTTTTAGTATCAGTTAATGGACAGTTTAGCGGAACTATTTTAAGATATGGATGCATTACTTTTATTGTAATAAAAGAAATGCAAAACAAGCTTTGAGGGAAGCGAAGAATTTTTAATGTTTTTTAACTTTGATAAAAACTGAAAATAATATTACAAATTCATTTTTAAATTTTATTTTACAGTATATAAACGAAATTGCTGCGACCCGTAAGAAAGTTTCAAGCAGCTATTTAATAAATT